AGACGTAATACGTCCAGAACAAGCTTAGTAAACAACCTAAGGGTATTTCCCCCGATAACATGATCCTTATATTGTTTAATTTACCACTCTTAATATGTTCTACTGTAATGTACTTGTTAAGTGGGCGTTACAATTATCATTTATTACCTCAAGTGTAGCTACAACAATTTAAATAATGATGTGAATCCTGTCAATATAATCCATTAACCTCCACTTTCATTGTGTATTCCTTGTGCTTGCACAGTGATTAATATAAAGGTAATTAAGGAAGCCGGTGCATTCTGGTTCAGATGCATTTCATGTGCGGCGTGCACACAGTAATAGATCATCCTACCTTTCTGCCCTCAAACAGTCGACCTCAGAAAGTGATCAAGGTAACAGGAAATGACTCAGGGTGCTGCAGGGACTCCCTCTCAGGATGAGACGGGGTCAGGTCGATCAGGCCTCGTTCTAACTAATGAAACAAAAGTAAATACTCTTAATGTCCAAAGGGAAATTCCCTTTTTCTAATGCTCACTTCCAGCAGCTCAGAGGTCATAGAGTGCACACAAGAGCATAATTCACACTCCTTAATAATCAATCTTTTGCTCTCCACACAGACTTTTAACCTAAATACAACCAAAACCCGCCGAAACGAGATGGTCGGGCTAAAATATGCAGCTGATACCAAGAATCCTGTCCGTGTCCTGTTGCCTACATATTCTTCAGTCATGTACAGATTGATTGGTTGAGATCCTGTGATGCCTATCCAGTGCCATTCTTATTTAATTCCACTTTCTTTATTGTATTTTCCTTGTGATGAATGACACTTTCAGGCAATTACGCAAGGGCTTTGTCAGCGTGACTTGAGTGTTTTGGATTCAAGCAGCGTTTCCCTGGCTCTGAATATAACCAGGAACACATCGAGCTTATCCAGTTGGCCTCTAGCCAGTCGGCTTGCAGAATATTTAAAGCCGTCTCAGTGGATATGAAGATCTGCACTTTTTCTTTCCCGCCAAAGAGTGATGGAGCGGAGGAGAATGTGTCCGTGAATGAGAATGTGTCCGTGAATGAGAATCTCCTCTGTCACTTTGTCACCGTGTGTGTGTATGTGTGAGTGATACAGAACAGAGCGGCTGAGTAAAATCTCACATCCTCATCCTCATACATCTCACAGACACATGCCCCCCCCCTTTCAATTGTTATTAATGGACAGTATCCATGAACTTGTGATTTTCAGATATGGAATCCCGGTCCTGATGGAAACACCGATACGTACTGTACTAGCACTCACATAGAATAAACACACCCATTCACATTGTGCGTGAGTAGCAACAGCTGTGGGTTATGTAAGTGACACTCTTTGACAAAAACGTACAGTATTAAAAGCTGGACTATATTTTGTGCTCTGGAAAGCTGGCATGTTCCCATTTTTTTCTAAGATGGTGATTATCAGCTTCACGAATTCACTCATTATATTTTTCTGTAGCCTGTGATGTACAAGTGTGCAGAGAGCGCTGTTGTCCAGCAGGGGGAGTGGATGCGCAGCTGCACAGGGAAGCCCCCATGCTCCAGATGGTATTGATAAAGTGTTTTGGGGCTTATGCTGAAATGCTGTCACCCTTTCAAACCTTTTGAAAACAGTCCTTATTTTCCATCAGCATTCAGTTAAAGTAAATGGGAAACCAAGAAGTCTATAGTGCTGAATTGACTGGCATGGACTGTCACTCACCAGGTGCAGTGCCTGAACAAAATAGTTTGTTGCTTAATGTCAAGATCTTTGTACATTTATGTTTACAGTGCGACTTTGATTTTGTATAAGTGCACATGCTGTATACGCAACTCTTCTACATGTTCACTTAAACATTTCTACATTGGATTCACTCAATTTCTGAGGAAGTAGAAAGAGAAAAAAACGTCAAGAATCAACAGAACTACATTGATACTAACAACAATAAACATTATTTTATAAATAGGCATGTATCATGATTTAACAAATATTTAAGAACATCTAAAACAGCATATTTTGGCTATAGTAGTTTGCAGAAAGTCATTCATAAAATAATATATACTTTTTATAAATACTGAATCTATTATAATTAAAATACAGTAGGTAACTCTGATATGGTAGATATTTGTATGTCATTCTAAACCAAGGGACTCTTAGACTCTTTGGGAGGATTTTGCTGGTTTATCAATCTCTAATATTTTTCTCCTTAATCCACTTGCTCTGAGATTATGCTTCTAATTTCTAATCCAGCAGCACATTGCAGGATGCTCTGTGGCAGTGAAGGCAGTTTCAGGAAGGCGTTATATGGTGTTTTACATCAGGTTAATCAGGGGCTTGTCGCCTCTGTTTACTGCTCTCTAATCCTCTCATCTCCTGCTCAGCTGGAAGAAAGATGTTCCTGAAGAGTTTATTCTTCCCACCTTCCCTTTACAGTACGCTGGTTTCTCTCAGTTATAATCACACCGAGTAGATAGTCTAATCATGTTTTTATTATGGATTCTCTTTCAATGCCCCTTTTTCCACTTCTCTTTCCATCCTTTTTTTGCTCTTTCCCCTCTTTTTCCATTATGTATATTATTCTTCAGTTTAGCAGCCATTCCACCTTTTGTCCCATATTTTTTAGCCTTTGTCTTCATCTATTTCTGCCTTGCATTAATTTCACATATCCTTTCTTGCTTGCTAGATGCCTAATTTCAGTTATACAACGTCAGTCATTCTGTAGATTGTAAAGAGCCTCAGCAAATCCACATGGCTGATTGGGTGTTATAGCTAAGGGCTAGTTGTTTTTGAATCCCTGAATATAAACTTGAATCCTTCCTGGCAGACAATATGAAGTTGAGAGTTAAATAGTTTATTATACTCAGAGACATTTTTTGCTAAAGTGATAGCAGTCTTTTTTTGCCAATGTCTTTTTTGAATGTCCAATAATCTAGCCTGACAACTGATACACGGTCTCAGTTTCTCACTCATTTACAAAAGCAATAGCATCTACAATAGACAGAGCTATTGTTTTGGTGCAAACCCTTTTGTTCCAAGCTTTCTAAAGAAAAAAGTTTGGCATTCTGTTTTCCCCTCTAGCTGCATACTGTGTTGTATAATCAATGGACCTTACATGGTCCGACATGAGCAGTCTGCACTCTGTGCTTTTTTGGATGTGTTTTAGTGCATTGTGATAATCTCCCCAAGCTCCATAAAGCACAGACCCTGAATCAGATTATCAGCTACTACAAACTGAATTGGAAGATATCCAAGCGGAGCATTCTGTTGAAATATTGTTTGAACTGTAAACCTCGGAGATCAATCATTTTCTGATGCTCTCGGAGGGAAATAAGTAGGATGGTCAACAACATCAACATCTTTCATGTGCTTAAAATATGTGTGTGCATGGATGAATGATTATTGGACAACAGATCAGAGAATTGGAACATGACCACGAGTGACCTCAGTGTTCTAGACTTCTTAGAACTGACAATAAAAACTTTGTTTTATAATTTATTGGACTTTAAGAATGAACTGTAGTTAAATCCTCTTGTGTTGACATTTAATCCTGGATTGGTGTGTGTGTGGGTATGTGTGCGTGTGGGTATGTGTGTGGGTGTGTGTGTGTAAAAATCACATCTGCCATCCACAAAACACAGCACTGTGTCTTTACAGGAACACACACACACTCACGGCTTGTTGCTTTTACAGTTTGGGAGGCTGCTGAGTAAATAAACTGCGGCTGCTTCTGGGAATGACTCCCTGTAATAACTCCAAAGTGTTTCTGAGGTGTTGTCTTCCATGTTCTGTACAACAGTTCCAAGAACGTGATGCACCTAGCAAAAGAGGATCAAAAATAAAAGCTCTTCAGACGGAGGACTAGTGTTGTAAGATTACTGTTAATGTGACAGTCATTAGAATCAGGGCAGGAATCCATTAATCCAATTACATTTGTTTGACAATATGAGATATTTTAGTTTAATTATTTTTGCTGTTTTTCCCCGAAACATGTCCAAATCTCCTTAAGAAAACCTGCTCTGCCTAATTTTATTAAATGCTTAATGTTATTTTTTTGCATTCTTCTTCAAGGTACTTTTTAACGCTGTCATTCTCTGTTGTTCTAACAACATCTTGTCATACAAACCTAAAGACTAAAACATTTTAAAATGGTGACGCATGTCTGTACTTTATAAGGCTGTAGAGCTGTTTAAAGCAGCTTTACTTATGACTACCTACTGTACACATGTGCACATACACACATATACACACACTCTGCCAGATGGTGTAATCTCTTAGTATTCCCTGTGTTTCACATTTTTCCCCCTCCTGTGTTGGGATTATGCTGTTGTCCAATCGGATTTCAGCCCACTCTCCTGTGATGATGTGAGATGAATGATAGGCGGGAGGGTGATCGAGGCAGTCGTGCAGTATACACACTGCATGTTGGCTTGTACAACATTACATTTTGGATATAGACGCTCCTTATTGCAAAAACTGCCGGTTCATTTTTTATGTTGTAACTGACCACCACTGCCCAGGTAAGAGATAGGACCAATCACAGCCAGGTGCTGAAGAATGTGAGAGGATATTTGAACACCTTTTTTTTTATTGTTCGTCATTCCTCCTGCTTTCAAATGTAAAAACCAACGATTAACTCGTGCGCTTCACGATTATCTATATGACCTTTGTCATTAGCTGCATTGATTTTGTGATTGATTCACTGTTCTAAATTAAGGTGTGTGTGTGTCTAGAATAGCAGCTTATTTTTGACTTCCTTTCTAGCGTGTAGAATAAAGAATGGTTGTTTTAATTGTCATTTGAACAACAATTCAATGTATGTTTTGTGTGTGAATGAGCATTCTGTTGCTATCTGCACTTACACTGTTACCTAAAATCACTTTCCCAGGGTCTGACATTTTAATCCCAATTCTGAAACCATATACTCTTTTGGCAGTGACAGAGGTTCTGGATACAAGCTTCCACCAAATACAATCAGTCTGACTGAGTTTTCTCTTCCTCTCTTCCCACGCAGGTCAGTGCTTCCTGTGTATAGTGGACGTGGTGCCAGTGAAGAACGAAGATGGCGTGGTGATCATGTTCATTCTCAACTTTGAGGGCATGACTGATGAAATACAACTGGCCCGCAAACAGGAACTAAACCACCGCCTGCCCACCTGGCTTGTCACCGGTAACTACTGACTCGGCTCATTCACTTGTTGTTTTCTCGTTTTATGCTAACCAAAACAGCGTGGACAATTTTTGTTAGAAAGTATTCCTTATGCCTTAGCAATTTTCATGTTTTTCCTCATTGTTCTACAGTATATCCCTGTTTTTCATCATTCACTGTTAGTACTGTATATCTGAACATTTTTCCATTTATTTCATTAAAAAAAGCTCAGTGAGAAACAAAGAGAAGTGGTACAAAAGAGTATAGTAGGTTGCCTTTTTACTGACACACAACAACGCTTAAAACCATTCAAGCACCGTCTGTCCATTTACTTTCCATTTTCAATAACTAAAGTGGTCTTAGTATGATCAACCAGTGAAAAGTGACAACCGTCACTCCAATTCACCCGGATCATCCGTTGATGTCTTTTTTCATGATAAGTAATTCTATTCCTGTAAATCCTGGGTATTTTTTTGGAGACGGTTTGATGCACTTAATATTGTAGAGGGATAACTCTTGGGGAAAACATCTGAAGTAGTCCAGTTATAATATTAACCAGATTTCTTGATATATTAACTTTGTGGCTTCAACCAAAAAATCTCCCAGATTCCTGTGGATTTTTTAAAAAGGAGTATTTTGAATGTCTTTTAGACTCAACGTTTCCCTACTCCATATCCCCCTTCGTGGCGCAGTGTAACAATCCACCTGATACACTGGCAACTCATCCTTTCCCCCCATCTTCCCATCTCTTCTCCTGCAGGACGTCCACGAGGCTTCAAGCTGCGTCTCCCCAATCTGCGCTCCTTGTCCAACAGTAAAGTGTCTTTGGACGTCTCAGAGGAGGCTAAAGTCCCCACTGCTACACCCCTGCCGGTACCTTCAGACAACCACAGTCACGAGTCCTTAGGCCTGGGGGAGTACCTTCCTCTTCCTTGTTTGCCACTCAACCACCAGGATCATATCAGTGGAAGCAGGTAGGCCCTATGAAAGACATGCATGAGACCTAGAGGTGGGTTAGCAGCACCTTCATCCAAATACTGATTATGAATCCTAGGGTTTATGCACAGGAATTTGAGCTTGGTACTTTATTTATACTTGAATTCTTACCTTAAAATGTACTGCAATCCTCATGGCTTTAGTGTGGATTTTTTTTAATAACAAACTTTTACCTTATTTAGATTTTAAGTGTCCTTAAAATGAACCCTCCAAAATTCACTTTTGTTGTGAATATAATGGGGGAAAAATCCTATCAATTAGAATACGGCACAAATTAGAAGAAATTAGAATACACCACATCTCAGTGGTCAAGCGAAGGTACAACTATCCTAGAGCTAAAACTAAATATGGTCCCAATACATTAAAATGAGGCCTAACATATCTTAAAGTGAGAGGTCAGGGGACCTTTTGTAAATACTTCCATGACAGTTCTTCCCAGGCCAAAATGTGCTTAATTCTTTATTGCTATTTAGCCACCTTCCCTTAAAGCCAGAGGTTAATACGCATGATGTCCTTTTCTGTTTCCTAGGTCAGCTCTACAGAGTTGGCCAGAAGACCGTCAGGAGGACCAGCAAACTTTACTGGGCCCTGACCCTCCTTTACGCCCTCATCCAGCTCCCCAAAGATCCCACCTGGGTCCCGTCGCCCAGTCGTCCCCCTGCGTAGCGCCCCACCACCGCCTCAGCTTAAACCAGGACGCCTCAGGCTCCAATTGTTCTCTAAGTCACAGCCGCTCGCGGGAGAGCTTTCACAGCATGCGTCGAGCGTCCTCCGTAGACGAGATCGAGGCCATGAGGCCGGACTGGGACAGAAAGAACCGCCAAACCAGTATCCGGCCGGGCAGCACTGGTGAGGAAGAGCAGCTGGAGAAACACACAGCCTTTTGTATTGTATCCCCTTCCATTTTTACATTACTATCCGTGTGTGTTTGCAGGTGCAGTAAACAGTAAGGCGAACATCTTGAACTCCACGTCGGACTCGGACCTCATGCGTTACCGCGCCATTTCCAAAATCCCGCACATCACCCTCAACTTTGTGGATTTCAAAGCTGACCCTCTCATCGCCCTGCCCTCCGGGGAGATGGACATCACAGCTCCCTGCAAACTCATCGACCGAACGCACCACGTCACAGAGAAAGTCACACAGGTAGGACACAGTTTGTGTGTGGAGTACAACGCATGGTGAAAGGTTGTGATTGTGTCATTTGTGACGATGTTGGCCTGAACCAATCTGGTCCATAGCTAACTTTAAGCTCAGGGGAAATGTACTGAATAGCCTTCGACTTGTGTTTAACTGCTCTTGGACATTAGCTAATGCACTTAGCGACTCCCAGCTACTTCCACTCGCTTTAATCTGACACATCCTCCTGGGGAGATAAGGCTTTGTTGCACCAGCTCAAGCAAATGATAATGAGATTGATTGAGCTCTGATGAGATAGTGGTGTGGCGGTATTCCAATTACTGGTAATTGACTTCAGAGTAACAGAGAAAGGACTTATGGGACAGGTGAAGCAGAATTCCACTCTAGGCTGTAAACACTAAATGCTCTCTGGCAGAAGTTGTGTCTCACTCCTGATTACAGTATCAGTGTGGACATCTCCAATAGCTTACTGCATTTGGCTTTACGAAATAGAATATAAGTTAATTGCAACAAATATGGGAGGACTGTTATCCCTGTGTAATTGTTGTATTAAAAGTAATTTGTGTTTAGCCACCACCTGGGGTTCTTTCTACATCTGCTTAAAAAACATTTACCAAAGTAATTCAGTTGAGGAGACACAGAAGAGGAGACCATATCTGACTTCTGGAGGAAAGGATAGTCTAATTATAACTTATCATTTTACCAGGTGTCTATTTTTCTCAAACCTATAGTTATATATATTTGTTTTGAGTGAGCGACACTCTCGTTCACTTTCTGTCTTTTTTGAGAAGTGACTTACTTAAAACTTCCTATCTGTCAGTTCATGTTTGTGCGTTCACAGCAGAAAGGTCTCAGACTTTTGGCTTCTCATCAAACTGCTTCCTGTAAATCAGTTAAATCAAATACCAATCTGTTAACTCAGTTTTTTATAAAGCCAATACCTCCTGTGGGATTCAGTTGACTATGGTGAACAGCAGGTGAAACAATTATAGCAAAACGTTTGCCATAAGCTTCTTCACACATGTCAGAAAGTGGAAGGGAATTGATTTTTCTAAAATATTGTATCCGGGTATTCACCCTCGAGTTTCCCTAATTATTTTTCTTTCATTGTACTGGATTTTATGGCACTTTGTGCAATCAGAGGATTCTAAATTGGGAAATACACAGTGAATGCAGAATAAAGCGAAAATATTGAAACATCCTTGCAAATTGTATTCTCACATGCGGAAATACAAAACCTCAGAGCATGCAACAAAACAGGTCTAAATGTGTTTGTTTTTGCAGGATTTTAATTAGCAAGATCATGACATTTCAATTGTTACTGTCTGAGTTAAGAAAGATAAGATAAGATATACATGTTTTTGTTGCAGCAGCATGAAAGTTGGCCTCAGATGTTATTTTCTTTGTATTTAAACATTTATATGCGGCCAGTGAAGACCTGTATTGTGTCGGCATGGTTTTTTAGTCTTGTTTTAACATGTCTCTCGTATAGTGAGAGTTAGATGAACAAAGAGCAACATATAAAGTGTTTCTCTGAGAGCACTGTAGTCTACATGGGGTTGCTAATATTAACAATATGAGCTTTCATATTCTGTGAGACATTGTGCTCTCTTTTATCTCTAGATGGGAACATTGAGAGAGAATAATCCAAAGTTGATGATGTAACACAATATAAACCGTTTGTTTACCTCAACTGTCTGTATGTTAGGTGCAGCTGGCAGGGTCAAAACATAACGCTTAGAGTATGTAAGTGTGTATGTGTGTGTATGCATGTGTATTAGGCCATGATACATCCTGTAGTTACATTGTAGTGCAGATGGAGGAATCAGCACCAGCTGTGTCTCCAAATGCTTTGGTTTGCTATTTATAGAAGACGGATGCATTTTTCTCTGCATATACTGTACTTGAAAACCATTTAACATAAAAAAGCTCTTTTGCAATGTTACGTTAGGGATTTTTCAAGTTTCTAATTAGAAAACTCACATCAGGTACTCTGTGAAACTGTGAGAAGTCATGAACATCTCTGCAGAAAGGTGTTTTGATTTTAGACCCGTAAGTCCCTTTAAGTTGTGCTTCCACCTGCTTTTCCCCCTTCCTGTGGAGTCAAAGAAGCAGCTGGGTTTCAGTCAAGCTGACTTCAATGTTCACTTTGTTTTCAACTAAAAACAATTATAATCAGTTTAATCTTCAACTGAGCTGTGTAGCTCAACTAAAACCCTTCTTAAACTGTGATACACATGATGAATACCTGAGAACAACTGTATTGCAATCTCTCGCCTGTAAATGGCAGCACTACAACAGGTAGTTTGGTGACAGGCCTCCGCCATCCCAGTGGAGCAGAGAAGAAGATGCTGAAAGGCAAACAAAGCTGAATAATTGAAGTGCTCCATAAAACATCTGACACCCTGTACCAGAACACATTTTCCCTCTCATTTGGGATGATAGATGGATGGATGGATGGATGGATGGATGGGGAGGAGTTGATGAGAGTAGGCAAAGAAAGAGGAATGGCTTCCTCAGTGTTTGGAGAGCATGAAGTGTGGAGAAAAACTGGTGTCATGCCTCACTGCACATTTGGATGCACGCATACACACTTTAATGACACTTAGATTCTACGAGGATGTCCTATATGGGACACTCCACACACTCGCCCGTCACAGCTCTCATCCAATATTCCTGACACAGCCCTGTATGGCACAGCCCCGCATTCCCACAGACATGGACTATAGGAACACACACACACACACACACACACACACACACACACACACACACACACACACTCACTCACTCACTCACTCACTCACTCACTCACTCACTCACTCACTCACTCACTCACTCACTCACTCACTCACGGTAGGGTAAACCTACTCGCAAGCGTCTCACACTCTCTTACATTCATACACTGCCTCTCCACACAAGCAGCATGTCTCATCCAACAACTACACAGTCGGATCCCATGGAGCAATGGATGGAACGCACCCCTTCAAGCAGCAAAGCGGTAGGAACCGTCTCCATCTCCTAATAATCTAACAAAAAAACGATACAGAAAGTTTGGGTTTTGGTGTTTTGGTGAATAGTGAAGGCCAGTGTAGAAAGTGGCGTCAATTGGAGTGTTTATTGTAGAAGGATGTCAGGATAGTGTCTTTGATAAAGCATAGCATTACAAACTTTTCTTATTATTTATTCCTCACATATTCTATGGCAGATATTCATGCTTTATTTTTATTTGAATGCTATTTAAATTAGGAAATTAGGAAGTCTCACTGCCAGGACTTGGTGTTGCTTTTTGGAACTCTACTGGCACAATTTATCTTTGAGTGCTGTGTGACGACACCGAGGTCCACTTCCAAATTAGAAGGAGAACATGAGCTCTAGTGAACTTTGACAAGATCCAGTCCTAATTAGGCAGAATATTCTGTAAAAAGTCCCAAAATGTTGGCTAATAATCTTCCAAGTGCTTTACTGAAATATATATATATATATAAGTTGGGTCCAAAATTGAGATGACAGTCTCAGGAGTTTAATGCTGGGCACCCTGGTGGAAATATTGTGAATGGGGGTGGCAAAAAGTAGACTTAATTAAAAATGATTTATTTGGTTATTCTTTCTGTGCCAGTTCATTCCTTTACTCCCCATGCTGAGGCACATGAACTAAAACGTGTTTCCTAACAAACACCAACATAAAAAATACAAAATAAGTTTAAATGTCAGATATATTTTTATAAAAAACGATATCACCATTTGGAACCGCAGCTACTCTGAGCTTTATGTACTGTAATGAACCACTCGTCAAAAAACACTTTCCATTACCGACTTACATTACATTAAATATAATGTAGGTTGTGTTCATATTTCTTTAATGAGCTGGCTTTATCGGAATGAGAGTAGGAGCTCTCTGTGGAGAAGATGTGACTTCCCTGTATGTAGTGTGTGTGTTTGTATTTAAATATACATCAGTGAGGGGAAGGAGCAGTGTATTAGAGGTCGACCAATATGTGTGTTTCAATGGCAGGTAATGATATTGATGCTCCTGTTTTTTTGATTTTCTTTTGTGAATCTGATCAAATGCAACAATGTAATGTACAAAAAACATTGCTTAACTCAAAGGAGCATGTTTTGGTCTCTGTTTCACTAAGTAGATCTGCACTTTGTCTACTGTGCCTCATTGTAATAAATACAATAACTGACCACAGCACATCTGAAAGAAAGAATCTAACAGTTGTGGTACAGTTAGCAGTGCATTTCGAAGCAGATGGCAGCATCCTTTTTCTCTGCGACAACAACAATTGGTTTACTTGAATTAATTAGAAATAAATAAATGATTATCAGTTTAATGGCCTTCCTGGTTTTGGCACAGTAAAATACTGTTATTAATAAATACTCAGCCTCGTGAGTTGAGGCTGGCAGCAATCAGACCAATGTTTATTTGATCTATATCTTCTGTATAAATGTGTATGTAGGTTTTGCTTGACTAAAACACTTCACGACTTTTGGGGTGGTTGTTCGTCCTTCACACTCTCTATAGTACAAGAGCATGGACTGAGACATCCCAAGTCCTTATGATGTCTGAAAATGTTAAGTGGTTAAGAGATTATTTTTGAAGTGCAGTCCTGTTTTATTTTATTGTTTTTTTATCATCAATGGCCTTTCTTTTAGTACCACTTTGAGCTTGATTATTCTCCTTAAAGGGGTTTAACACAATATTTTCTAACTTGAGCATCTGAAAAATTGGACAACATCTATGAACAGACAATTCCTAATAGTTAGTGATCTTAATAGAACTGACACTGTGAAACATTTAAAGCACATGGTTATGACAGTACCTGTCCCTTACGTCCCAATGTTGTCCATGTGCCAATTCGGTCTAAAGATTTTTGTAAGTGTATACATACGTGTGGTGGGGATCAACTATTTCAGTAAAGTGTTGACCACTTAAAACGTTATGGCTGCCCCTTCAGTTGAGTTCAGATGCATCAGTGAGTGGAAGGTGAGTGCTGTGAAAA